CACGGCACTGTTTATTTGGAGTTGAAAGGTTACCTAGCGACTCCCACACGCAGATTGTCATACGGACAATCATTCAATTTCCATATTTTACTTCAAGGAAAATATGGCGACAGGATTGCGATGTTGGCCGTTAGCATTCTGTATAACGTTACTTCATATTAGAAGTACATATCCTAAGATTGTAGAAGGGACATTAAGCACCAAAGAGGTAGCTTGAAGTTGGGAATAATTCGAAGTTTTGTTTTTGGCAGTTGTGGAACACAAATGGAGTTTCGGTTCGAAGCGTATCAAGAGGCTTCCTAATCGCTCGTTTTTCCCACTCTCTTTGACAGAACTGGGCATTTTTAACAAGATTTTGTTACAAAGATTCAATAGGAGAACTAAAATATCATTTTGAATATCCTGAGGTGAGTTTTGTTCTTGATCCTGTGCCGATTTTTTTGCATGAACAATCGAGGCTTATACATAAACATGGCTTTTAATTCATAATGATTCAGCAAACTGAAGGAAACAAACTCTGCTGGCGCTAAGCTGTTACAGTAAGTGATAAAAACTTCTACTTCCGATCCATAACTGAGTTTTTTTGTTTGTCTATGTTTTCTTTCCTCGCAGGTTTATGCTACACAGAATATTTTTCTGTACTTTGACACGCAATGGCCATTAGTGTATCCGAAGCCAGACATGGTAAGAAACCGTATTCTTAGATTTAACTTCTTTATTTCACATATTTTAATTCAAAAATCCGAGCATTTATACGATACGAACGATTTTATCAATGTCCTCGCATGCATACTACTGATCTGTGCATGTTTCCTGAACATAAACACACGGGGTTGCCTTCCCTTTACTTAAAATGAAAGTCCAAGTTATTACGTATAATGAGGAAATTTGGCTCACCAGTGATACTAGCGCCTTCTTAAGTACCAGTTTATTAGAAAATTGGAAGAAGTTAGGAACTGCAAGGAAATATAATTCTTCTTATTAAGGTTCATTCGAAGAACGAGTTCACCTTATGACTTGTTTTAATAATAATAATCGAGAATCTAGCAACAAAAACACTTGCATTACCCGTCGCTCATAAGATTGTCAAGCCTGGGCAGCCATGAATCGAATACGCACTGGGCTGTCATTTTATTTGCTAATACGGCGTGTTGAAAATTGATATTTCCTCGTTCCAACCAGGAAACATACGAAACGAACTGTCATAGTTTAACTATGAAAAATGAGTTTCTCTTTCAGACATAAATGAATGTACTGGGTGATTTCAAGTACGCATGCATGAAAGATTTTCAAGAAGGGCATCTAAGTTCACTGAAGTAGCCTGTAATATCAAAAATCTCTGCGGTTTTGACAAGTATCTCTGTAACGCAGTCATCACTGGATTTAATTTCCAAGGATTGTTAAAAGTGTGAAAAATTAAATGTTTATGACTCCGCCATTTAGTGTGAGGCAAAATCCCCATGTTTTCATTTAGCATCAAGACAATCAGAATATATCTCTGCAGTTTTGACAAGTATTTCTGTAATGCAGTCATCACTGGATTTAATCTCCAAGGATTGTTAAAAGTGTGAAAAATTAAATGATATTTAGGACTCTGCCATTTAGTGTGAGGCAAAATCCCCAGGTTTACATTTAGCATCAAGACAATTAGAATATAACAAATTTCCCTTGCGCTATCCTTGAAACTTATAAGGGGGTAATTATGTGGCAAATTTTCAGTCCAGTTAGGGGTATCAAAATGAAGTCAAGGATGCAAATTTTGAAAATGAGTAAATTGGACCCTTTTGCAATTTAAAAGTACTGGTAACCTTTTGTTGGCTGCTCAATGTTGAACTTTCTAAGGCAGCCTATGAAATGGATATCAACCATTTCCTCTTCATTAATCGATCTAGTCTCAGTGGCAATGATGTGATGACAGATAGGCACCCCAAAGAAAGTTAGTTTTTCTTGATAAAGTACATATCCAAGCCATATGGCTTCCCATACTGCTTCATACTAAGTTATCTTGTCTGCATTGAGGTCACTGTGCACTCCATTTATTAGCTTTGAAATTAACTAGACGTTAAATAAGATTCTCCATTTTATAGCCTTTATTTTACCGAAACCTTTTCTTTTCAGCCGCCTTGTTTCCTCACTTTTCTGCCTGGGTGGAAGTTTCATTCCAATTAATTACATGGGTTTTTTGGAGCTTTTCATTTTTGTCTGGTTTGAAAACAAAATTACAGCCTGTGGACATACATGCTCTATTAAAAATGATTAACTATTTCTGGCCTTGCATTATGAGCCTGAGATTTCTATTGCATGACTGTTGACGAGGACGCAAACCTACTGAAGGCAACTAGCACATAGAAATCGAGAGCGAATAATCTATTTGTGTTAAGATAAATCTACCAGTCATTCAAAACTTTATCAAAATCTTCTTTACAGATGCTTCGATTGCACAAAGAAATCAACACATTTTGTTGACAACTGCACGCTGCTAGGTTACTCGCTATCTACCACAGAATAGATAATGAGCAGGGCGCTACAAGATTGATAGTAATTAAAAAAAGCACACTCAACTCCATTAGCAGGTTTATAGCAGCTATATTCTAAATGCAGCTGATTGATCAGTTCAGTGCCGAGGAAATAAAGGCACTTCAGTAGGTTGATCCAAGTACTAGGTCTAAGAACACACACCTTCGTGTGTAAACAGAAAGCATAAAATAAAGTAAGAGCACTAGGAGGATAAACCTCCACAAAGTAAACAGGATGTCAGAAAAAAGAAGGAAACTGTCAGCAGGTGTATGAACACACTAACAGTTGTCTGTAGTCTCTTTACCACTTTACTTGCCAATGAAATCATCTTACATCGTACATGCGTTGTAGATTTTGTGTCAACTGATAATTTTCTGGGAAAGTTGTCTTCATGCTCACTGGTAAAACCAGGGACAATTAAATGGTTGACAGTTTTGATTTTGTGTGTGGTCTAACAGGGATGAAGCTGAAAAAAAAAAAAAACTGAACAGTGGTAGATAATTTTAAGGTGTCTTTAATTTCCTGGCCTCTTTCCTTCAGAATTACCCCAAGTAGGATCTCAGTGGGCAATAAACTGTCATTCAACCATTGAATTTGCCTGTAGTCACTCTTAGCTGCATCTCTGGTCCAGCTGTCTGTGACTTTAAAAAAAAGGTTTTCTCCAAGCAGGCATGAAGCATGGAAACCATGCTTTTTTATTGTTGTTAACTGTATATAATGAAAAATTAATTGAATAGTCTGTTCTGTGCTCGCAGCCTCAGGGCTCGAAATTGCGACTCACTGGTCGCCAATGCGACCAAAAATTGAACACTGGCGACAAAATTTTCAGAACTGGTCACCAGCTGGCGACTCACATTTTGTCCGATAACTAAACAAAACCACGACACAACTTTTGTTTTTAAATCTCTATATTAGGAAATCAATCGGATATGGTAGCTAGTATACAACTCACCTTTCTGTCCCCAGTAAAATAATGTCTGATTATTACAAGATAATCAAAAAAATTGAGTGTATTTCGACACGTCGATACTGCGTTCACACCGTACCATGTTGTTTCAGTGGCTTCTTCCGAAACTAGGATCGTAGGCGCACTTCAACACCATGTGCTTTTCATTTGCTGCGAAAATGGCGGCAGATACCAATCAGTTGAAGGAATTACGTGAGTCTTTACGTACGGGGAATGAAGATTCAAGCATGGCATTGTTTGTCGGCAGCGAAAGACGTTGAGGAAAGCAAGTCGAAAATAAAGAACGGCATTTCGAAGAAGTAGCAAAGGGAAAATATGTAAGGACCATGTTTGTCTCACAATGAAAACCACAGACTTAAAACGTTTTATGCTTCGCTTCATTTAAAATGACTATGGAGACAACCATCACCTTGGGACCAGAGACATATCACCTGAGAACAACAGTAGCTTTCTGTAACTAAGTGTTACTGGTGTTGCTTTTAATTGTTTTCGCTCTTCAATTGTGACTTTTCTTGAATGCGAAGTAACGTATAAAATTTTGTTCTTGTGTAGGTTATATGTAAAATAAGTTGGCGACCAAAATTTACGATCTGGCGACTAAAATTTTTCCATTAGTCGCCAGCTGGCTCCCAAACGAAAAAGTTAATTTCGAGCCCTGAGCCTCAGTAGGGAAGATTGAAAAATGAAGCAAACCAAAGAAAAACGAGAAAGACACCTTAACAAAAAGGTTTATGAAAAAAACAACTGTTTTGGAATCATCAAATATTGCTTTTTATTAACCTATGGCAAAATCATTTTAAATTACAAAATTAAGGTAATTGAAACTAGCTTCCTAAAAACAGCTTTCTTCAGTTGATTCCTTCATTCATAATGAAATACAGCAGAATAATTGTTTCAAGACAGAATAACAGTTCTTTCAGATAATACCACTCGTAATTACAGAAAATTATTGCATGTGAGCTAACTCTTGATTGGCTGCATAGTAATCAGTTTTTCCCAGCTGCTAAAATACATCATTCTATATATAAAATAAGCTGGCCTCACAATTAACATCAGTATTAATAATTTTTGTATATTGACTGTGATTTTTAGCGTAACCATCAAGGTATTATTTTACATAAATTTTATTTATTTTTTTTTTAGCTGTTTTGCATTTTACCAGATAAATCGTTCTATTGAGAAGATGATTGTTGGAGCTATACTATCTGCTGGGTAGTGATTTCCTATATTTAACAACCACAATTTATGTGATGTCTTACAAAATGAATAACCACAGTTTCATCCAGCACATGCTGAGAATATGTTTTTTTTTTATGTTTAATCAAATGATTTTGAGTACAATTTGGAACAAATAAGCCCAAGTAAGTTTTTCAAAGATTAAGAAAAAAATGCAGGAACCCATGCAATTTTTAGGTCTCGCAATAATTTAACACTTAAGTAGGCATGGAGTTTATTGCAGTGTACTTTTACTCTTCTACATTTGTATTTTGCCTTGTCCATAGGGGTTTCATTTAAGGCCAGGCATGCACCTGGCAAATTGACTGGCCGTGAGAACAACTTTGCCCAACTATTTTTAACTATCTAGTGAATAATTGTTCTTATTTAAAGAAGTTCAGGTCAGAAGTTTTGCCCACCTTTGAAAACCAGTTGTCCTCCTGCTGAGAATGTTAAATGAAACCCCTGCTAGTCCTTCAAGCTTGTTAAAATTCAGCAAGAGGAGAAATTGTACAGAAATACTAAACACTATAATATCTAATTAGGTAATATTATATTGTGACAAGGTCAAAATTCAGTTAACAGTCACTTATCCCAATGTTATTCAACAGAAATGTATAGATAAAGAAGACAAGGTTTATAGAGGAAATAACCAAGTTGTGAACCTCACGACCAACTACATATGGTCAGGATGTACAAAGAAAGAAAAGCTATCTATGACACATTTAGACTGCAATGGTAAGAGTATGTTTCAGTCTCTCAAAGGGGCTAGGTCCCAGTATTTTAGGTAATTCAGTTTATTTAATTGTAAGTTTTCAATAGCTTTAAAGCTATCACTCAAAAAGTCAGTTTTTGAGCCCTGACTTTCACACAAATGAAGATAAACTTGAAAAGTCAAATAAATATGAGGCTAATGTTTTTCAAGCCCAGCCAAATG